CTCTATTGGATAACTTTCCTGAAACCACTTTTCGTATCATATTGTACGGTTGCTTTAGTTAAAAGGGCTTATTATTGCATGTGTTTTTAGGTCTCTGAAATCAAGCGGGCCAACGGAATTGTAGGTGATCAAGAAATATTTGCCTTACCGTCAGTAAAAATACCAATTAGTAGGTTAAGAAAAGAACTGGATTTGGAGCATGAGAGAGAGCTTTTAAAGAACGATAGCCCTGTCACGGAAAGCGACGCAGAAGACGAGACTGACGAGACTAAAAGGTAAATGCGCAGTACGTGGTCTTAAAGTTCGAACATGGGAGCGGGCCTGCAGTTAAATGTACTTTTGCAGAGTTTTAGGCTTTTGCAGAAATACTTCAAATTCGCATTCAAGTTATGGTTGATTATGATTTTAAGGCTTATACCTGACAGGCACAGTGGGGTCTATAAAAGCGTGGACGAGTTATTTAAGAAGGCAGATGAGTCTGTTTCGCAAGTTAGGGACAATTTACCAAATCAATCAGGTTTGGAGGGAGCTTTTCATTTTGTGGATGCCGGCTCACCAGATAGTGCTCACAAGGTTATTGTTTGCCTTGTGTATTTGATAAATCAATTTTGAAATTTACTTTTTGAATTGCTATTGTTTTTAAATAACCATATTTAGGGTTTTAGGGGCTTTGGATTTTTATCGCAGTAGTCTTGACGTTGTTCATTTTAATTCCGCTGTTATTAACGTACTTCGAAGAGCATCAGGAACTGGTAAACGCTACTACTGGTCACTAAACTGTTAAATCACTTTTAAGATTTTTTACCAACTTTTGCCATATTTAAATTGCTTAGTTTCGATGCCTATATTTGAATATTTTTTTCCCAGAAAAGATCCTGGTTTTTTGGGAAAAATTAAATTTTTTAAATCACTTTTCCAAGCATACTGTTTGTGGTACTCCGTTACTGTTGATACAATACATTAGAAGTGCTGTCTGTAAATTTGTCGCCTTTCAGAATTTATTATTTTCTTATTTCTTCCTCTTAGTTCATGTTCGTTTCGTATTGTGTTTTTTTTTTGGATCTTTGTTCTTATTTTTGATTGCAGAAGCTGTTGATGGTTTTAATTTTCTATCGTAGTCTGAAGATTTGCGTGGGCATCCCTTGAGTGATAATTCTTGTATCGTATTTATTTTTCTCCGACAGAAAAGATAATGCGTGAACAGTTTTACTGTTTACTTGGACTGGAAAGGGAGAACGCAGATGTGAAAGAAATGTAATTTTAGCCGTCTATAGTTGCGCGACAAATCGTATCTTTCACTTTTTTTCCTTTCTAGAAGTCTGTTTATTTTGCACAAGTTATAGCTTCTGCAACTTCAGTGTTATCGCTTTGTTTAATTTATTTATTAATTTTTTTGTGTTGAACGTTAACTTTTTGTAATTGACATTAGATTTGCTGTTGTTTTAGCTGTTGTAATAATGTTCCGATGTCCATATTTTCAAGTTGAAAATGAGGTATTCTTTTCGAAATAAAAATACTGAACTTTTAATAAATTTTTCTCTCTTTTCACTCCTTTCTAACTTGCAGCTTTAGAACTGACACCTTTATTTCACCAATTAATTTTTGAAATCAGAGAAGGATTTAGTTTTGGACGAGCTCATAGTTCTTCTGACTATTTTTTGTTATTTGCGGTCATATTTTTGATCTGTCCTTTGTCAGAAGTTTCAAGCAGTTATGTTTTCTATTCGTTTAAATTTTACACTAATAAAACTTATTGTTCAAGGGACTGGGTATTTGAAGCATCATGTGACTGGTTTAAAGTCTGGCGGATTTAGCTCTACAATGTGCCAGGTTTGAAGGGTTGATTGCAGGGGAGGGGGTACGTCGAAGCTTAGACTGTAAAACAATGTTTTTAATGATATTGTGCCAAGGCAGTCACTAAGGGTATTTGTTGAGATGCACGTTTGTTGATCAGATTTGATGTGGACCATCCAGTTTTAGATGTGTGGCAAACCTGCGCTTCCTTCGCTACCAGCTCGAACGAACGATACTCATCAAAGAGTCAACTATTTGTTTCAAGCAGCTGTTCAAATTTTTTTACAAAGTAAGTGGTTGTGGAAATGTGGTATCATTTCTCAAGTAACTTTTGATTTTAGCAAGTGGTTTAATGTGGTATAGTACTAAACCCTCAGCAGAACTACAGCAAAAACTTGTTCCCGAAAGTTAAGAAAATGATAAGATAGCTACGCCAAGAAGAGGGCACGACCGTGTACTGAAAAAGAAGTTGAGCACCATGGTGAAGTGCGTCAACTTTTCCACTAGTAATGTTCAAAATTATTTAGGTCACAGCAAAGACGATACAATGAATGCAATAGGTTGTTTTTATATGGAAGTACTCAGAGAAATAAGGCTTGGAGAAAATATTAAGGTGGACTGTTGTTTCGGACGTACAGTTTGCAAAAACTGTAAGCGATTACTTCTTTCGGCAGATACCACGCCTGCGGCAGTTAAACTACGGTTAGTTTTGAAAAAATAGTAAAAATCACTAGCCAGTTCCACTCCAGTTTTGCCCATATCATTGTGCACACTAAATTCTTTAAAAATGAACAGTAGAAATAAGTTTTAAAGGACAGTTCATATTACTTTTTAGTCTGATGGTAATTAATTATCAAACACTCCAGTGTCTGCTATAAAATTTCCTAGCTTGAGAAATTATGGGTGCCATTGCAGTGTAAATCGAAAGAACATTCTACTTCGAACTTGCGGTGCGTGCGGGAAGAAGGAAAAATTTGTCATGAACAGAAAGTACCGGTCAAGAAATGAGAAGCACAAAGATGACTGCAGAATCAAAACAACTGCCCTTGAAAAAGCAGGAACTGCCCAAAAGTCTACAAAATAATGGTTATTTGTTTCAATCTTTGAGCTCATTATCACTGAAACGCTGCTGAGAAATACAGGTCTGTGATACGTCAAATATAAGTTGCAGGCGCGGCTAACTAGATTACTACTTTGGGAAAAATATTTCGGAACAGACAAAACACGAAGTAACGAGACTCCCCTTACATTTGAAATGTTTAAACAAGTTGTACAAAGCTTTGCTTTTTCTTCTCGTTACTGTCCTGTAATGTATTACAAATTACAAAGTTTCTAATACTACTGTGGTTTGCCACCCAAGCGCTCTTCTGTTTTTTTTTTTTTTTTTTTTTTTTTTTTTTT